ATGCCATTTATATTTAACCCTGGAATTCCAGTGGGTGGGGGTCAAAACAACCTGGAATTCCAGTGGGTGGGGGTCAAAACAACCTGGAATTCCAGTGGGTGGGGGTCAAAATAATAAGATTTACATGGAAATTCCGGGAAAAGGGATAAAATAATGATACCGGAACTGGAAATTCCAGGGGAGATCAACTTATTCACAGTGGAATTCCGGAGTCATGCGGAAAAAATGCATTTCCAAGGGTCATTGATTGTCATCATCGAAAAAAAAAGTGCTTGGAATTCCAGGCACTCCCTTCTACAAACCACATTTTTCCAGGGATGGAGTCAAAAAGTGGCAAGGAAATCCAGGGGAGATCAACTTATTCACAGTGGAATTCCGGAGTCATGCGGAAAAAAATGAATTTCCAAGGGTCATTGATTAAACACAATTGGAATTCCAGGCACCCCCTTCTACAAACCACATTTTTCCAGGGCTTCTGACAAAAAATTACTTGGAAATCCGGGGGGTAGGAGAATTTATGCAGTGTGTCCTCAACAGGGGGTGTACGGATAAAAAATGCAATAAGCCAATGCGACGATATTTTGTTATATCATATATGCAACAGTGTTTACAACTTTTGAATAATATGAGATTTGGTTTTGTTTCAGATACTATTACATGTTGCTTCATTTTACCATAAATTGTGTTAAAAAAGTGATTTGCTCATTTGGCTGATGTTACAGTTTTCTGATGTGTTTTATTTGGTGTTTGGATGATATTAGAACAATTTCAATATGAAAGTGCAGGTGTCTTTAGACATGAGCCATAATGTATATATCAAAATACTGATAAAATCCGTTTCCAGCTTGATTGTATTTGCATTGTTGGAGACAAAGTTGTGCAATGGTGGGCTTATGTCAGATATTCGTATGTAATGCACCAGTCAAAGTAAACCCCGACCCCCCCCCCCACCCCGGGCAAAGAGGGACTTGGTGGGGATTTAGTGGCTTTTTGTCATCAAATTCTGTCCCAACCATGTCGGGAATTTGTTGGTTTTGTCATTCTGCCGAATTATGCCGGGAGATAATGGGGATTGTTAGGGGATTGTCTGCGGCCATAGACCGGGAGCCCAGGGGTATGAGCTTAGCTGAAAAGGTTACCAATTTTTATGCATACTGCATTGGTCTATGTACCTAGTGATCTAAGAAAATGGACGTCTGCCGGACACACACTAGTGGATGTGGTCAGGGGGGAGTGAGAAACTAAGCCGCAAAATGAGCTAGATCAGCTGGTGATGTAACCCAACAAAACTTAGTGCAAAATGTTCAGCATAGTGCCAGGAGCCATAAATGACCACTGACAGACAATTTCATCAGGGGGGTGGGTTCGCCAGACGTTCTTGAATGCTGACCCCAAAATTGAGCTAGATCAGCTGGCGAGGAAACCCGACGGAAGTAAGTGCAAAATGTTCAGCGTAGTGCCAGGAGTCATAAATGACCACTGACAGACATTTTAATCAGGGGGGTGGGTTTGCCAGACGTCCTTGAATGCTGACTCTCAAAATAGAGCTAGATCAGCTGGTAAAGAAAGGTCACATCCAGACCATTTTGAGCAGGAGATGGGTTCACCAGAATTACGTTAAACTAATGTTGGAAATTTCTAGATAATTTCCGTGTATAATCAAAGAAAATCTAAGGAGTTTTTAAAAAAGTGGGATTTTTTTCACATGAAGTGGAAGCACAGAAACATGTGGAAACACAGAATGACAGAAACACGTCTTTATTAAAGGAAGAAAAATTTACATAATCATGTCTTAGAAGTATGGATGCAGCAGAAACAAGCGTGCTTTCGACCGAAAATCAATCTTTGGCCGAAGAAATAAATAGTGTATCGGCCAGTATTGTCAATCAACAGGTATGTTGAAAAAAATGGCATAAAAACAAGTCGGATTCCCCAATGTTTCCCCCCAAAATTATTTCACAAAAATGCTCAAAAACAAATCTCATTATGACAATCATTAATTTTATCAATAGAAAGTTTTATAATTGATTCACCAACTTTCCCCAACTATACAGCAGATAAAAGGAAAATTGTCTACTTTGTTTCTCCAGGGACGTCGCGAAGTCATTAGTGAGCTTAAGCAAGCGACGTTTTTGTCAACACGAACGTTGGTATAACTCATTTTGCATGTATTTTGTATCATAGCGCTCGTGTAAAGAAGCAAAAAATTTAAAAATCTTATGTTTTGTCATATGTGTAAAAAGATTAATACAAACTGATGCAAATACAGTTTTTAATCCAGTTTCCCCTCGGCACTCTGGCGTCCGTGTTGACAAAAACCTCGCTTGTTTAAGCTCGCTATTAACATTTGGGGCGGGGGGGGGGGGG